CGAGGGGAGCGGGGGGGGGGGGTAGAAAGGAAGGTAAATGTCTGTGAGCTGCTAGTAGGTTTCATGCAGCCCAGATCTTAGTTTTATAGATTGAATGATTTGTTCAGCTGTTTGCCAACCTGCTCATCCACTCACCTATTTAAAAAGAATCCTCAAGCCTCCTTCCCCCAAAATATGGTAACAGAATCTTGGTCATGCCACCTGTTAAAGCCATTCAGGTTTCCCAAGGAAATTCAAAGAGCAGTAAAAATATAGCTGCTTTTAAGATCCTCTGTGCCAGGGATGGAGAACCTTTTATGGGCCAGGGGCCCCTGACCCACAGAAAAATCAGTCGGGGTCCACACACGAGTGAGAAGCAAAAAAGAAAAAAAACAAATCCCCACAGACACAGCCCTCAGCTGAGAAGGAGAAAGATACTCCCCACATTCTGCTCGCACAGCAGAGCCTAGTGGGGCCCAGGTTAGCAGTTTTTGTGATCCAGCCTCATGAGGCTGGGAGGTGGGGGGCTGGGATGCCAGCCCAGGCTCCCCAATGTTGGGAGGGAGTCCTGAGCCTCAGGGGTCAGATCCAGGTAAGCCAGGGGCTGGGCCTTGGGTTCCCCACCATTGCTCTATGCTATTCATCACCCTTCATGCTGTACGTGATATTACATAGCAGAAGCAGACCTGTCGGCAGAAGGGATGGAAAACTAACAGCAACCACACTATGGGCTCTTTGCTGCTTACAGCTAAGTTTGTCTCCTTTTTTTCTAATTAAAGCTGTGGTTAAATATTTTCTTTTTCTGTCAACCGGGGCAGGTTCTTCGGCGCACATGGATCAGCCTTGCTGTCAAGCGCTGTATGACTTTGAGCCAGAAAATGAAGGAGAGCTTGGGTTTAAGGAAGGCGACATCATTACTTTGACCAATCAAATTGATGAGAATTGGTATGAAGGCATGTTAAATGGAGAGTCTGGCTTCTTCCCCATTAATTATGTCGAAGTGATGGTACCTTTGCCTCAGTGAACACCTAATTCAAACTGCGAACATAATTTCATGATTGAAATGGATTCACAATTGTTTTATCAGTGTGGCATTCTGTGAAAGCCTTGCTATTTGACTGACTGATTTTTGTATGCATCTTTTAAAAATGTATTTATTTTGTATTCCTTTAGTTTGTATACAAAAAAACAAAAACACACAATCCTTCCTTGGCTACGTGAAAATGCAAAAAAACTCAGCCTCTACTGTTTTTGCTTTGTGCCTGGAAGATTACTGTCAGGTGTTTACTGGTAGCTCACTGTTGCTCCAAAAATACATTCCCTTGCTCTTACTGTAATGGAGCCTTTTTTAATCTCCTGGCTGCAATGATTTTACTGTTAAACTATTTAAAAAAAAACTGAGTCAAGCTAACTGTAACCAGTTCTTAAGAGTTACTGATGTCACTGGGCCTTTTTCATCCATCACAATGTAACTTACTGTGAACAACCTAATCTGTGTTTCACATTGTATGTTGACAAAAGGCTAACATGTTGTTGTACTAAGTACAAAGTCTTAGAATTGAATATTCCTCTAATTTACTGACCATATTTAATAAATATTACTGTGGGGAAAGCATACAGACTGCTGCTTACTACAGCTGGATTTCTGGCATTTGTTTTCAAGCAGTGTTTTTTTATGTTTCTCTCTAGACATACCACTGTTTTCAGGTGGTGTTACAGCCAGTGAGCAAAATGAACTGTCAGGAACAATTCCCTGACTCTTCAGCTGCTGCATTTTTAACATTGTGGTCTGACTTAGAACAAAAGAGCTCACTCATTCTTTCATAATGCCTGCTAATATTATCCTTGGACAGGATAGGCAAAAGGCAGCCCCTCTCTTCATATTCATTTGAGCCCAGTACATACTAATACTAGATCATGTCTTTTGGCCAGTGCTGTATTAGATAACTTAATGGAGATGAATGGAGAAGTGTATTTCTAGAGACTGGCTTTTTGAAAGAACAGTGCTA